AGTGCTTGTCTGCTGATCAGAGTGTAAATTTATACAACCACTTTGGAAAACAGTTTTGCATTATTTATTGAAGATAAAGAACAAATACCCCATATCCAAGAGATTCCATTTCTAAGTATATATACTAGAGAGAATTCACTTAAAATATGTTCATAGCAGCTCTATTTAGTTGGGTAGGCTAAACTATGGTAACAAATAGAAAAAATAGCAATGGCTTAAGGAGCACGAAGTTTCTTCCAAGATCACCTTGAGTATTACAATAACACAGAGGTTAGCAAACTTTGTTCATGGCCAGATCTGGCCCGCTGCTTGTTTTCATAAGGTTTTATTAGAATACAGCGATTTCTATTTTTTATGTATTGTCCGTGGATGCTTTCATACTACAACAACAGAGTTGAATAGTTGCAACAGAAGCTCAATGGCCCACAAAGCCTAGTATATTTACTAAGTGGCCCTTTATAGGAAGCTGTTGGCCCTGCCATAACAGGTCAGCAAGAAGGAGGAAGGTATAGAGTACATACATGTGGAAGGTTTTTATAGGATAGGCCTGAAATGGCACGTATAACATCCACTAGTTTTCCACTCAACCACACATAATTATAAAGGGAATTGGGAAATATAATCTAGCTGGTGCTCCGAACAAAGGGAATTTTGGTGAATAACTAGCAGCCTCTGCCACAGCAAGTGTTCTTCATAATAACCCCAAACCAGAAATACTCTAAATGCCCATCAATAGAATGGATAAAAAATCATAAATACATACAGTGGGACCCTATGTAGCAAAGAAAACAAACTGCAGCTACATAAATCATCAACACAGATAAATCTCATGGACATAATATTGAGCAAAAGAAGTCTTCAAAAGAATATATATAGTATATTTCTATTTTTATAAAGTTCAAAAACAGCAAAACTCACAGTTTTGGGATACATTCATATATGGTAAAACTATAAAGAATGGAAAGGGAATAGTTATGAGAATAGTAGCTAGTTCCTGGAGGTGAGAAGAGGCTGTGATCAGGGATGGACATTGATGCTTCCAGGGGGCATTGCTGCCAGTACTTCATTTCTTGATCTGCAAAAGTGGTATACTGGTATTTTCTTTATCATTTATTCTTTATGCTAAACTGCATGTATAATATAACTGAGTGACTTTTAAAATGCAAAATAAAACAAACGGCCCAGAAACAGAGTTTTTCCTAAATGTTGAACTCTAAGAAGTTACGTTATTATGAGATGTTGACTGATAGATGGGCAGACATAGACCCAGCTTTATGTAAATAGGATGTGCTCCATTATGTTCAATTTCATCTATGTATGCAAAAATATATGTATGTGCTTATTTACATAAATATATTCAAACATATTTATACGACTTATCACCTTCATGGACAATACTTTTATCAGCACTTTTATTTTTATTTATTTATTTTTTTAAGATATATTTATTTTAGAGAGAGAGAGTGCATGAGCGGGGGGTGGGTAGGAGGAAAGGGAGAGAGAGAATCTTGAGCAGACTCCCCACTGAGCATGGAGCCTGATGTGGGGCTCAACCCCACAACCCTAAGGTCATTAGCTGAGCTGAAACCAAGAGTCGGACGCTTAACCAACTGAGCCACCCAGGCGCCACATGCACTTTTACTTTTAAAATGCATATGTTGTCTTTGTGTATGTGTGTAAGTGTATGTGTGTGTGTGTAAATAGATATGTAGTTTTATGAATATGCATAACTATATGTAATTGTTGGTATACTTAACATGAAATCAAATTTTGTAGAAGGAATGAGTATAATTAAAAGCTGATATATAGCTTTCCAGAAACTTAATAAGGAATAGCACTTAAAGAATTAAGAAAAAGGAATAAACTTGTCCTATGTCTTAGACCAATCATTCTTAAGCTTTTGGGGGTCTCATACCTTTTTAGAATTTGATGAAAGTGATGGCCCCTCTCCTTAAAGAGTGAACGGGCACATATACACACATCATTGTGCCTGCAGTTATGAGGGAGCCACACATTCATGAAGTATATCCATGGATTCCATAGGAGTCCCTGGATCCCCTGTTAAAATTCCTTCTTTAAATTGTCCCCATCAAATGTCAGTTATCTCAGCTAAACTTTTGATAGAAGTATCAGAACAGAATAAATAAGACTAATGTTCAGGTCTTCTATAATAGTGATTGCAGATATAATTATATTCTTTCACTACCAGGCATTTCTTCTTCCCTCACCTTACCCACAAATCCCTCTCAGTTGTTTCTACTCCTATTTACACATTTTAATTTCCCCTCACACCACCCAATACTCTACCCAGACAGTTGTAGTAGTAATGAGCTGCTTTACTTGCCTCCATTATCTCTGTCCCACTCTATTCCAAATTCTGCCACAGAAGTAATCTCTCCAAAGACCAGTTTGGTTTTTTTCTTTAATTGTGTTTGTTGCTGCCATGTTTTATTTTTGAGGTCAACTAGCACAATGTTTAAGATTAGTTTGCAATACAAATTCAAAACCCAGCCTTGTTCTTACTAGCTGTGTGATATTGGACATGCTGCTTGACCTCTCACAGTTTCCACTTCCTTATCTATAAAATGAGGACAATAATATAATTTAAGGACTGTTGGAAGGAATAATGAGATAATGCATGTAAAGTGATTTAAAGTGATTAACAAGGTACAAGGACATAACGATGCTCAATAAATATTTCCTGAATACATTAAATATTTAGCCTTGAGGTTTTTAATTTAATGCTTTTAATTTAATTCCATGCTCCTTATTCCCTCCTATCAAAATACCACCTCCTGCATCAAATCTTCTCTAATCCTACAGCCATACGTGATCTCTCCCACTTCTTAATCCCTCAGACTTTTTGTACTCTTTATTACGAGGGATAGCCTAATGGTAAAACTCTGGGATCAGATTATCTGGACACGAATATTGGCTCCATCACTTACTAGCTTTGTGGGCTTGGGCAGGTCATGTAAGTCCCTTATGGCTTATTTTGCCTATCTGTAAATGAGATATAAAAATAGTATCTATTACAAAGGGTTTTTCTGAGGATAAATATAATTTCTAGAAATGGCAAAACTAGCGAGAGAGAGCTAGAGGAGAGATAGGAACAAAACAGACAGGGAGAAGGGGCTGGCCACAAATGGGCAGGAGGGAACTTTTGGGAGTGAGGAGATATTCTAAAACCGGATTGTAAAAAGAAATGTCAATCCCATGACAAATTTTTAAAAATTATTTATTTGAGAGAGAGAGCATGCACACGGTGGAAGGGGCAGAGGGAGAGGGTGAGGGAAAGGATCTCAAGCAAACTCCTCACTGAGCACGGAGCCCTGCACAGGGCTCGATCTCACAACCCTGAGATTGTAACCTGAGCTGAAACCAAGAGTCAGACGCTCAACTGACTGAGCCACCCGGGCGCCCCACTTATAACAAATATTTTTAAAGCTGGGTTGTGGCCATGCTATAAGCTATATAAACTTACTACTATTTATCAAACTGTATGCTTAAGATGGTTAAATTTTATGGTATTCAAATTATAATGAAGCTGTTTTTAAAAAAGATTAATGGTATATGGCAGAGTCCTAGAACAATACCAGGCACATACTAAACATACATTATCTGTTAGCTGTTGTCACCTTATACTGCCTTGGGTTATTTATGGTTCTTTACCAGATTATTCAGAGTATCTCATGTTCTTACTCTCCCATCTTCTTTACCCTCCCCTAAACTAACTCTGAGCTTAATCCTGACACCAGCCCTTGCCCATCATTAGGTACTTGGTAAATATTTATTGACTGATGCACTGTATGTACTGATGGAGTTTATGTCTCGTATGAAAATATACTGGTTTGGGTTCAGGCTCGCACAGGTTTGTGTAAACAAAGAAGACTGAATTGTGCATTTAGGTGGCTAGTCTTTTACATCTATACATAATAGAGAACAGTCAGTATTGAGTATAGCTTTTGAATACCAAGGATCATGGTGACTGTTTTGATGCTACTCTCTGTACATAGAAGACTCTTGCTTTCTCTGGGCCTGATTTTCTCTGGTAACACCGAGAAAAGGTGCCATTCCCAGAATTAGCATACTATATTCTTGGCATTTGAGGGTCTGGTATTCTCAACACACCAAAGCTGTCTTCATGTTATTTAAATAGTTACACTTTCCTCAAAGAAAGAGTAAATCTTCCCAAATAATTTCTTTAAGCAGCCTGGACAATAGTTTCCCAGGAACCAGAAGAAAATCGTGGATGAGATTCTGACAGTCTTCCAAGAAAAAGACAGGGATGTTTTGTGTTGTTTGGGAAATAATATTAAGAAGGAAAAGGAGAAGGAGAAAATTGTTGTTATTAGAAATAATAATAATAGTTAGAAAACAAAAACAAAAAATCTTTCTGTCCGTGCCATCTTATTTAGCACTCCAGAGGAGAAACATAATTATTAGCTGAACATTGCTTGTTAGAAAGGAAGAGAGACCACATCAGCCCTGGAAGGTGAGCATCTCTTCCAATCAGACACTTGTTTTAAGCCCAGTGTACAGTTCTTTGAAAGGAACATTCAAGATTTATGTCTGCTTTGAAAGTTTTAGGGGTAAGAGCAGTTTAACTTGGGGGGTTTGGAGGTACAAAGTGCTGGACTCAAAGAGAAGAAAGATCTTTTCTTAGAATGGTTAAAGGGAACAAAATAAAGTAATCTACCTTCTTGGGCATTTTCACAGTAAACTCAAATCACTAAGAAGATAACAGGCCATCAGGTTTAAAAACAAAATCACTAGCCAGTCTGTATTGCACAGAAGTACTTTTTTTAAACAAGATACTGTGGTTCTCTGATGTTTACAATATCAAAACAACCCACTGAGTTTTCCATCTGCCATTGTTTCAGTTTGGAGGGAAAAAAATAGCTTAGGGATTTTTGGAATGTCTAATATATTGCTCAGAATGGACTTTTCCATTTCCTTTTATTGAATGTCCAAATTAATTCCTTTTATCATTCATACAGGAACAGCGGCAGGTGTTAGAAAAGATGCATCCACATCTCCTATGACAACAGGAAGCCAAAAGGAACTTGTAATCACAAGCCCATCAGTCCAGCGGCACCACAGTTCCCGGTACGGCTCTGAGACTCTTTGGTTTAACATTCTTTAGATAAGAGCTTTTGGGGGGCAGGGAGTCATTTAATAAGGAGTGGAAAAGTCTTGACAATTCTTAATAGCTGTTAAGAGAGAGGCCTTATTTGGAAGCATCTAGATTTGGCCAGGTTGATCTCATGGAGCCCTTTCCTTTACACATGCCCTGCCTTAATTGAAACTGATAATTGGCAAGGATTTACAGAGAAACACAAAGCTGATCCTATTTTTCATCTGAAAATGTGCATAGCAGCAGGTCTTTCCCAATTTGTCACAGAATTGTTATACACTTGGACTTTAACTAATTGAATTAATTGATACTGAAAATTATAGTGGGTTTTGTATTACGGTTTTAAAGGACTGTCAACATTTACTGATACCAGAGAATTTGAAGAGTTAAGAATTTGATCAGCCTTTTCTGGAGTCAGGAAGAGAAATACATGATTAAAATTTTTTCACATCCAATAAGCCACCCCCCTATTATGCATTTAAGGCTGAATATATAAACAGCAACACCAAATGGGCCTAGTTTCAGCTTCCTTGGGAATGTGCTTCTTGGAGCACTTAAATTCCCAGCATCTTATCAGATGAATGTAGATTTTAAGACTTAATTTTAATTACAAAGAACTTTTGGGAAATAACTCTAACACAGAGGACAGTAATGACTGCCATCTGTTAGGCACCTACTATGTGTCCACCCTTTGTATGGACTATCTGATTTAATCTTCATCAGAGCCTTATGAAGTGGTACTACTATCATCCTCATTTCCAAAATTCGAGAACTAAGAGATTGAGTGACTTACCTAAGGTCGCATAGCTAATAAGAGGTAGAACTAGTGTTTCAGACTCCAAAGCCCATTTTCTTAAATACTATAATAGTTAACAATGACAACCTCCTTATTTTGAAGGTGACCCACAATCAAAAGAAAATTTGACTAGGTTACCACATTCTCTGTCCATTACTCCTTTCTTTTATTTTTAATGCTGCCCTTATTAGCATTTTCCAAGTACCCATATTGAGCTGTCATTCTGAAATGTTGAGGGTGGCTCCCTCCTTGGACCACTCAGCATTGTGGCTGAATGCTTGCGCTCAAGGAGGATCCATCCCAGTCACCTTGAGGGCTTCCTCTGGAGAAGTTACAGGTAAAGAGGAGAAATGATCTGGATTTTCACTCTTGGTGAATTTTCCTATTGAAGATTAAAGTGAAATCTTTAACGCTACTTTAATGTGTTTTTGATGATTGCATTTCAGTTTAGAGAGAAGCATGAAAAAGAATAAAATGTTTTCCCAGTAAGAGTTTTGTAGAACATAATCAGCACACATTTTCTGAATGGACCATATCAACTTAGTACAGTTTTACAAGCCCAGGTTAAAATTGCTGTGAAGACTCATATTTACGGACCTTAAAAAAGGGATTCTGTATCTGTTGCTTCTTAATACTGCAAATCAGCTAAATATAGATTCTCAGAGGTTTCCTAAATAATGAGTACTTGGCTAAATAAAACAATGTGTAACACACTAGATTTCATCCTTAGAAGTGCATGATAGCATATTATAGGTCTATTATACAAAGTGCAGAGTTGAAAAAAAGATTCAGTACTCTGAAAATCAGTTATCAGGAGGGCACAGTGGTTGCTTTCCAGATTTCAGAATCAGGATTATTTGAATTATTTTTATTTCAAAGTGTAGAAGAGGCATTTTTTATAGACTACTTTTCAGTTACATGAAAACTCTTAATGCAAGACAAAACTCTGTTTATTCTTCATCCCAACAAACCTTTGAATGTACTGAGAACAAGAGTAAAAGCCTATCCACCCTATATTCCAAGAATTTTCCAAACTTGCACAAGAGGATGAGGGTGGGATGCTGGTGGGAAACAGGTTTTCCTTTGTTCTCTGAAAAGCGCAAACACCTAGAAGAGTCCCATATTGTCCCACGTGCAGGTGATAAAACCAGGCGTGGCAAAGTCATCTTTCTCATTCACAACGTGGGTTGTTAATTGTTCTCTCTGCTGCCTGTCAATATAATGTGAAATTTTCATTCCCCATTCAAGATGGGAAAAGTTGTGGCTGAAAATGTTAACATTTGCATTTTTATTTGTTGATTTATTTAAAGGACAGCCTCTCCTGCAGCAATCCATCACTTGGTGACACCCCAAATATGAATAATGTATTGTAGACTTGCGGTTACAATGTGTAATAAGTGCTAGAGACAGTAAAGGAATGTTAACTATGTTGCAAATGTAGTATTTATTGACTCATAAAGTTTATTGCTGTGGAGGTTCAATAATACTGACCATAGGACATTAATATCACTTATCTTGATTTTAGCTGGGCACCTTTATATGTAGAAATATTCATCTATCTCATGTTAACAAAATAAATATGTAATTTATAGCACAAGCAAAGAGGGCTTTATAGTTTTCTGTGCTGAGAGCTGCGGTGCTTCTTTCTCTTCATTCACGTCTGGCCTCCAGCATTGATCACACACCCCTGAGCTGTCCAAGAGAGTAAGCACAATGGTCATGTTGGCACAAGAGGGTGGTGCTGCCGAACCAGACAGTGCCATGCATTTCTGCTTGGCTGGAACAGGCAACACCTCCCAAACCCACTTCACCTGGGGCTTTTCTCCCTGTCATTCTGAACACCTGGTGGGTAGGTGCACCTTTGATCAGAAAGCTCAACAAATACTTCTCCTGCCATGACGCTGAGTCAGAGTTTACAGATTCTGTTGGACCCTCTGGTCTCCAAAGTGAAACCAGAGCTGGTCAGGTTACCAATTACTTTGTTATGAGGACCATTGTTACTGATAATTAACTCTTCTGTACCTTCCAGAATTAGGTATGTCCATTGCCAGCAATAAAGATCATACAGGAAATATTTGACACCCAAAGCAGAAGAAGTAATGTTAATTAGCAACCATCAGCTGTAACTGTCATCCCCATTAAGATGCAGAATTATGTATTTCTTCGTTATAAATAACCTTTCTAATTGTACTTGATGTATGCCAATTTAATCAAAAAATATACTTGTAACAGACTGATATTTGCATTAATGTAGCTTTGGATCTTCAAATCTTTTATTTCAAATTTGGGGAGAAAAAGCATATTACAGCTGTATCTCTATGTGTGGGTATCTTTTTCTACCTGGGTATGGAGATCTAATACATTTTATATTAAAATGAAGACAGTGTCTTCTGGGATTGTTCAGTGAAACAGAAATCTTGTCACTTTTTAAAATACCAGTGAAGTTTCTATCTCCCAGTCATATGACAGCTCAGTGGTAATTGTTCCAAACTGATAAACAGAGGCAAATACCAGGCCTGTAGCAGCAGGATTATGTTCTGAGTCCCTGAAGTGAAATGTTACTAAGGCTTCTTCTCTCTGTTGTCCCCTAATGCATAAGAGTTAAAGCTGGTACTCTTGCCCTCGTGTGTGTGTGTGTGTGTGTGTGTGTGTGTGTGTGTGTGTGTGTGTGTGAAGAGAGAAAAGCAGATCTCACCAAAGTATGCCCAATTACTGAATTTTGGGAACTGTATCTATAGTTGGCCTATTTCTAGGAAGTACTGCTCACCTCTATCTACTCTAGCTTTTTTCAAAAAGGTTTTTTACCACAACACAGAGTTGGAAGTTCTGCTTTTTTTTTTTTTAAGATTTATTTACTTATTTTAGAGAAAGAGAGCATGCGCATGCATGCATGGGGGGAGTGGCAGAGGGAGAGAATCCCAAACAGACTCCCCCGTGAGCACAGAGCGGGACATGGGGCTCGATTTCATGACTCATGAGACCATGACCCAAGCAGAAACCAGGAGTCAGACATTTGACCCCCTGAGCCACCCAGGCACCCCCAGAGTTGAAAGTTTTTGTTTTCTTTCACTTTGTTTTTTAGACATGTTGGAGGGGTGATTTTGTGGAGCTTGCTTTTTGTTGAGGGAGGTAAGAAAATACTTAAGTATGTATTTTCAAAGATTTAATAGCTTATTTGGGGGCTTTTCAAAAAATAGCTTAAAAAATAACTTGTTCTTTTTTTAAAGACCGTGGTCCTTTGCTGTCAAACTATATGCTTAATTGTCCTGAAAAATTTGCTGTACGTTTACAGCTTGATGAGCTCTCCGTAGTGCACATGCTTGTGCACAGTCATGCTCACAGACAACTATTTGTGCACAGCTGAGTTGAAGCTTGTAGAGACTTTCTATCCGTTAAGGTTGAGACTGAGGGACCAGGCTCAGAATATTGGAAAACTGAGACCACATTACACTAAGCCCAAGCTGGAGGGATCCAAGTACCCTGCAGTCTAGAACTTAAACTTCTCTCTGTCTTAAAAACTGTATTTTCCTATGTCTTCTTTGGAAGAATGTCTGTCTATTCAGATCCTCTGCCCATTTTTTATTCAGACTGTTTTTTTTGTTTTGTTTTTGCTATTGAGTTGTAAAAATTCCTTATATATTTTGGATATTAACATCTTATCAAATATATAGTTTATAAATATTTTCTTTCAGTTTGTGATCATTTCCTTTACAGTTTGATGCAGTCCCATTTGTTTACTTTTGCTTTTGTTGCTTGAGCTTTTGATATTGTATCCAAAAAATCATTTCAAAGGCCAATGTCAAGTAGCTTTTTTCCTGTTTTCTTCTAGGAATTTTACAATTCCAGATCTTATATTTAAGTCTCTAATCCATTCTCAGGGATTTTTTTATATCATGAAAGATGAGAGTCCGGTCTCATTGGACTCTGTTTGCCCAGCACCATTTATTGATGAGACTATCTTTCCTGATTGTATATTCTTGGTACCCTGGTTGAAAATTCATTGACCATTTATGCTTTGGTTTATCTCTGGGTTCTTGATTATGTTCCATTGGTTTGTGTGTCTGTTTTAATGGCCAGTACCATAATGTTTTGATTAGTATAGCTTTGTAATATAATTTGAAATCTAGAAGTGTGATGCCTCCAACCTTGTTCTTTTTTCTCAAGATTTTAGCTATT